CTATATGTGTTTCAGTATAGATAAACGAACACAGCCCTCTAGTGAAACTTAACTAAAAATTCATCAATGTGATGATACGGATTTTTTTAATTGTAATTGTGAAAAACTTGAGCGAGTACATAACACAAAATATCTTGAAATAATTTTTGACCAAAATCTTTCGTGGATTAATCAAATAGAATACGTAAACGCCAGAATTCGTAAGCTTATATGGATATTTAAAAAAACTGCGTTACATTACAACGACTAAATTGATAAATCAAATTTACACATCTTTAGCTCAGTCAGTTCTAGGATATTGCATTACGGTATGGAGAGGAGCGGCTAAAAACTAACTTACTGAACATAGAAAGAGGACAACGATACCTTCTTAAAGTTATCGTTGTAAATATTTTAAGCCTATTAGATTTAATACCGAACAACTGTATAATATTAGTGATGTTCTTACGGTTAGACAACTATATATCTTACAGTCAATTTTAAAAACACATACTAACTCGCCATATGATCCAAAAAAAAACATCTACACGGGGGAATCATAACGTCATTAAACAAATTTATGTAAAATCTAAATTTGCTGAGAGACAGTACTGTGCCCAATCAAGATATTATATGTACAATTATTTAAATAAAAAATTAAACTTTCACCGGCTTAATTATCGCGAATGTAAAAAAAACTTACTGATCATCTTAAAAAATTATCTCATCACGCCACAGAAAACATTCTACATCACGGAATTAAATAATATATTTGTTTATCAGAATAGAATAGAATTAAATAAAATTACATAAAATTGATAATAATAGATATGCTAACGCACACGCATACTCACATGCGCACACACACTCACCCACACTCACTCACACACACACACACGCACGCACGCACGCACGCACGCACGCACGCACGCACGCACGCACGCACGCACAAACACACACACACACACACACACACACACACACACACACACACACACACACACACACACACACACACACACACACACACACATACACACACCTACTCTAAATCATAGGTAATCTAGCTCGGCTTATCAATATTTAATGTTATTAGGAAGAGCGGTGCCTCGTGACACAGGTATTCTTTTATACTTACTAGGAGGCTCCAATTACTTTATTATTTAGTATGCCTTGAGAAAGAAATAAATGGATTTTTAATTTTTTTATTTTATTTTATCTGCAATAATAATTAAACCAATAATAAAACCGCCCTCAGTACCTACTCGTATTATGCTTATGCGTAATCGTGGCTCTGCTGCGGGGTTATCATGTGGGAAAATAGCACAGACGTTTCTGATCTTTTAACCCTACAAAAAAAACTAATTCGAATAATATTTAACATACAAAATACAGATAGCTGCAAACCATACTTCATCACACATGAAATACTTACCTTACCGTGCATATACATTTTGGAAATCTGCAAATTCATTATAAAATACCCAGAATTATATATCAAACGAGGAGAAAGCAATACCAGATACCAATTACGCCATAAAGAAATACTGACTCTACCTATATCTCGCCTTAAGCTACATTCATCAGGTCCCTTTGTCGTGTCCATCAACATTTTTAACAAACTCCCAGACTCGATAAAAAATATAGAAAAAGAAACCATCTTTATAAATAAAATTAAGGATTTTTTAATTTGTAAACATTACTACACACTAAACGAATACTTAAATGATTAATTTTAAATATGTACCCCGTATTTCAATTCTATTTTTATTTCAAAGTCTTTTTATCATTATTGTTTCACTATAATGGCCCTCCTCTCTCTTAATTGCCGTGCCCTGCAGAGCCCATAATGATCTCATAGTTTTAAGTTAAAACTTAAAATGTTCACAACACCTTAACTGTAATATTATGGATGCAATAAATAATATGAATATGAATAACTTTCATCAAAAATAACATAGACTTATAAAAGTCATACACACGATCAATCATACTGAAGATAATCAATTGTACTACAAAATATTTAAAAGACTATTTCCAGTATAATGATCCGAATAGCATCATTAATGTTTGACTGGCACACTTAAACTTTTATCACATGGCTAAATGATTGACTATTATATGTATTATGCTAAGGTCTTGCTTTTCTATAAAAAGCTGCAAGCAATTTTAAATCACGTATTGGTTTATTTTACTATTCACTTAATTAGCGAAAAACAAGATGGACTGATCTAAAAGTTTACTTTCTTGTGTAAAAAGTGCTATTTAGAATTTTATGCAAATGATAATTAAAGTTTCTATGTAAATAAGTGTAATAGTGTACATAGCAGGTATTATATTCATTGGTAGCGGCCATCCATATTTGGAACAGTTTTCTGCAGCACTACGCTTACGAGTTATTTGAAGTAAGAAATAGCAAAGCCAGCATCATTTTCTGTACAGAAACCGGTAAAGTGTTGCTCAAGCCACTATGAATAAAGCAGCTAATAAAAAGATTACACTCTTAACTGTTAACAAAAATGGTTACTGCAAACGGTCTTATAGATTCTAAATACTCTGCCGTGTCAGGTGCAGGAGCTATTATTAGAAGGAGAAGAGGCAAAATTTTGTTTTAGAGATGCGCAATCAATATTGTTTTGTCTGCAATTGGGCATAAAATAAAAAATAACTTCAGCCAAAGAGCACAACTGGCATTATACTCAGGGCCATCAATTGATATGGAAAAAAATAATTTTACCAGGTTTCAAAAAATCAATCAAACTTCAAAAAAATATAAATATTAAAATCAAAAAATGTGTATCTGTATGTCTATACATACATATAATGATTTATGGCCACTTAGTAACTGACGGTGACTCAGTACAACATCCTACAGTCACGCCGAAACTAACAGGGGAGAATCACTGTAGAAAAGGTAATAATTTATTGCGGATTTTGTGATAAAATTTAAAAAAATTACAAGATTATCCAAGATACCCTATGTGTTACAAAAAAATATAACAAATATTAAAATAATGAGATGGCGTCAGTTTTTAAGAAGATATAACAAAAAGAAACAAAAAATAAATTTCAATAAAATTCAGGATCTAATTGACAATATACAGCTAACACTTAATCACGCTTTTGGAAACCACGCCAGTTGTAAGCAATACTTCTGTGAAAAATGGTGTACAAAAGATAATTAAGAACAGACAAAATCTCCGCCGAGTTGTAAGTAGAAGGCCAAACAGGTCATGTGTCAATTTTAATTAAATATATTTTATATGAAGTGATATTAACTATTTTCATCAATTAACCATTGGTGAAAATGAAAACAGGAATTTTACAATTGTGTTTACAGGAAACACTATTAGTTGAACCTTGCAGCTTGAACATTATTTTTATTATAAATACCTATAAATGTATATAAAATATTTCCCATAATATTTTGTAATATTTTTTTATTTTGCCCTTTCTGAAATGTTCTACACTCTGTATAAAATGTGACGTATGAAATGACAGACAATCTCTCGAACATTTTATCTAGGTATAAAGATGTTTTACGTTTTCGTGGCCTCCACATGATATTTTTGTCAGCATTAGGTACCTTTCTGTATCTGAAACGAATATGAATATTGCTACAAAAGTAAAGTAACAAGCTATACAAGTCCCTCTACTGGGCACGGGACTCTTCTTATTTCTGAGAGGGTTTTAGGGCAAGGAAATGTCTGTCGCGCTGCCCCAATGCGTGTTGACGAAAATTGCAATTACAAATTTCATTGGTGCTGCCGGGGATCAAATCCGGGAAAATTTTACAGCAAACGCTTATACCCAGAGCTACTAAAACAGCAAGAAAAAAATACGATTCAACAAATATAATAAAAATTCTTACGTACTCAAAACTTAAACATTTGATAGCGCGTAATGCCTACCAGACGAAGCTACAGCAGCACACCGTGCAATGTAATTGAAGATGCTTAACCGCGACATTATTCTCAGTGACGCGCAAGCATATTAGGCAGTATATATACTTTTATACTTGTCACCTCTGCAACCTATTTATCTTTGCACTTTTCTAAGTAGTACAGAAAGTAGTCGCTAGACGTTGTTGACGTCGGCTAAAATCCGCCGTTTCGTCAAGGTCATTCAGGCTTCTTAAAGCCTTAATATAAAGTATGAACGTTACGTAACGTCACCGACTTCAATAATGAGACGGTACTCAATTCGACTGTTTTCGACGGAACCCTTATAGGATCACTTTGTTGTCCGTCTGTCTGTCTCTCAAGACCCTTTTTCTCAGGAACACGTGGAGGTATCAAGCTGAAATTCATATTAAACCCTCAAGTCTACTGTCCCTTGGAGCTGTGAAAAAAATCAAACTTCTAAGCCAACGCAATCAAAAGATACAGCCGTTTATGCCACAAATTTTCGACATTCGCAAGGGAATCAAAACCTACAGGGTACTTCCCGTGAACTCAGAATCTTAAAATTTGGTACGAAGCAACGTGTTATAGCACGGATAAAGGAAAAATTGCGAAAAGCATACATTTTTAGTTACATCATCACCTACGGATTTGTTCGGAACCCTCGGTGCGCAAGTCCGACTCGCACTTGGCTGGTTTTTTTATATTTGTTACATCATAACTGCCAGTCTCAACATAGATAGCCACATCATCGCAAACAACCGATCGCTAAAGAATAACGAAAAAAAAATTGCTTGTTGTAGCGATGTTTACGATAAATGCAAGTCTCTACAGCCGAGATAGCGAGCAAAATCGTTAATTATCTTTACAATACGATCTCGATACGCTAACGAAAAACATATTCCTAATGCGGTGTTTTCCTAAAAAAACGTTGGCTGTTAAAACATGTTGAATCACAAGGAAAGTTGGCAGACATAATTTTATAAAAATAATTGCTTTTCTTTGAAAATTATACAGAAACAAATATAGATATTTTAGAAATCTGTTTTTTGGGAATCGATACATCAGCTTACAATTCGAATCTATTTAAAAACTCGTTATTTTTCGGAAAGAATCGACATCCCTACTGACAATAATAATAAAAATTAAAAAATGGCGTCAGTTTCATAGTAGGTAGGAATTGACATAAATATTGCACAAATATTTGATTTTCATTACTTTTCTCTCAAAAAGTACATGTTTCCGCATATTGAAACTTTGTGTGTGTGCTTATAAAAATGTAATCTTTCTGTAAAAATACGTATCAACACAAAACTTGACGGACGTCAATGGAAAGTAGTACCCATTCCCGTTTAAAATAATATCTAATTGATGTAAAATGAACTTTGAAACTTGTTCTTTTCTTAATTTTATGAATATGTAATAAATAATAATCTAGGTTATGTTTTTATTTCACAACAGCCATAGATACATTTATATTTTCGGCTACAGAGCTTGTAGCACAGACTAATCATTTCAATCGGACCTAAAAATAATCGGTACGTATAATTTATACTTTCATGGATTAAACAACTTTTATTTGTTATGTATATTACAAAATATATAGTTTATAATTTATAACATAAGTAAATATAATTTTAATGGGCAGGCGACAAAGATGCAAAAAATTGTAATTGAAATACAATGCGTAACATGGTTCAATAGTGATTTCTCTGTCTTGCGTATAGCGCTGTCTCTGTTTCTCTTATTTTGCCCGAGGTTTGCAATCGGCTCCATAGAGTCTTGACCCCCCCCCCCCCCCCGTGGTTACTCTACACTCCATAATGTGGGAAAATTGCAAAGGCAGAAAAGTGGCAACATTGAACCTAAATCGCATTATTCGTTATTTTATTTCATTTTTTTGTATGAAAACATAAACTAAAAACTTGAATCGCATTCTTTTACTACACATTTACCCATTTTTTGTCGCGGATTGTTTGGCTCATCTACGCACATTAAACACTGTACTGATGTTAGTTAGCTGGGCCTGGGCATATGGCTGTTGGCTATGGCCATATATGTGTGTGTAGTGGCAACGCTTTGGCGCGGTAATTACTAATCTAGTGTCTAGTGTAATATATAAATCAATGGGGGACAGTGACGCAGGCGCAGGCCCGATTTCGAGCTGCGTGAAGTAAGTACAGCCCGAAAAGTATAAGTATAATTGGTACAACATTTTTTGAATCTATCGTTGTTTATTGAATGGTTTGTTTAGACTATGTAATTTTTACATTTTGGATATTTACTTCTATGTATCTTTCAGACGTAAGCGTACATCACGTGTTACAAGTGGGCAGCTTGAGGCACTACTGTCCAAGCTAGAAGCTCGTCCATTTTTAATTACCAAAAAATTTACTGGCCAGCTGGGCATAGAAAACTTTGAAACGGGCTGGAGGGAAGTTGCCGACGAACTTAACCAGCTTCCCAACTGATCCGTCAAGACGCCAGAGCAGTGGATAACAGTTAAGTTTCTATCAAAATCTTTTCCAGATTTACTACTAATGGCTTATACATAAATCAGCCAGCACATCATGCAGCGCCAGTGTAACTTATATTTACTTAAAATACATAATTATTTATTTTGTAGGTATGGAGAGACATTAAACACCGGGCCTGCGCTAAAGCGGCAAAATTAAGAGAAAGGACGAAGACCAGCAACCGAGGCATCACCACTGCTCCGCTGACTCAGGCAGAAAAAAAAATTATATCTTTAATAAATGTTGAGTACAAATTGGGTAGCGACTGCCCTGACTCTATGCCAGAGGAAGAAGTGAGTTCAGTAGTGTGTAGTATATTCTAAATAATTATACAATTTCATATAACTAATTAAACTTCATAATCTTTTTGGTTTTAATGCAATTTATTATAATAAATACTTTTACTAATAATTATAGACAATACAACATGAGATGGAAGCTGGGGAGGAGATAGTAGAAATTATCTTTATGCCTCAATGTAAGTTTTTAAGATATATTTAAAATATAATGTAAATTCTGTTGCACTTTAAATGTACTTACATACCTACAATGTAATTAAAACACAAATTTTAATTACAGGTAATGAATACGATTTGCTTGAGACAGAGAGAGATCAAGCATCACCAGCACCACAAATTAGTAAGTTTGTTATTTTTATTACACCTACATTCATACCTCTACATGATTATATTTCACTAATATTTTTCATGTATATGATTATTTCAGTAGCAAGTGGCAGCAGAGCAACAGCTGTTGCTTCACCACCACCCACTGAAGAACAGGTGCAAGAAGTAACTATGGAGTCACCAGCACCACAAATAAGTAAGTTTGAGCTTTGTTATTCATATAATTCCTACTTAAATACATTGTAATATATTTCTATGCTCTGCTGTTTTACCCACTATTTCAAGATAAAAAGTATCTTGTGATAATCCAGAATATGGTCTATGTGCAAAATTTCACATAAATCTTCTGCTGTTGTAGTGTGATTAATTAACAAACATTTTTAGAAAATACTAACATTTATACTATTAGCAAGATTGTGATCATTTCATGTGTATTTCATTATTTCAGCAGTGAGTGGCAGCAGAGCAGCAACTGTTGTTACATCACCACCCACTTTACGACAAGAGAGGCGCAGGAGGATAAGGAGTAAGCTTGAATTTCAATTAAATGCTAATAATAAACATTAGTTCACAAGAGGATCAGCTCGAGCAGAATAAAGCCAAAAATTATTTTAATAAATTACATTTACTATTACAATTACAATACAATTCAATAAATTTTGGGTATTTTTAGATCTGCATCCTCGCAAAACTGTTGCTGAGCGAGCAAATATAACTCGTCGAGATATTTTGGCAGTCGCAAAATCGAATGCAGAATCAATGAGGGTATGTTATAGCATACATTATCCTAAAGATTCACTAGCATACTAGAGAGAATTAGCAAGCATTTCTTGATCTATCTATATTTTCTACCGACCTCAAAAAGGAGGAGGTACTCAATTTGACTGTTTTTTAATTTTTTATGTGTGTTACCTCATAACTTTTTTCTGGGTGAACCGATTTCAATTATTTTTTTTATTCGAAAGATGGTGCTTCTCATGTGGTCCCATATAAATTTGATCAAGCTCTGACAATAGTTTTTGAGTCATTCTTAATGATTTATATTGAAGTCAATCGTACAAAATGCTTAATTTTAAACTATTCATTACAGATGCTGGCAGCTGCAACTCAAGTGCAAGCAGAGGCTGCCAAAATGCAGGCAGAGGCAGCCAAAGTGCAGGCCGAGGCGTCTCTTTTGTTAGCACAGGCTGCCAATAAAATAGGAGATGCATTAATTTTATTTGTAAATAAAAATAATAAATAAATTAAATAGTTTAATGTTTTATTTCAATTCACTTAATAGAAGAGAATTATTTGTATTCAATATTGACTTTTTAGTCATTTTTTACTTTTACCACTGGTTCGGAGAAAACCTCTGTCCTGGGTAAAACCAGCAAGAAACCCAGAGGGACTTTTTCAGATAAAATCAATTAGCTCATATTAACTGGCGTTGATGAGACAAACACCTAAAAACAGACATTAGCACACCAAAGCATCTTTCTATGATGTTTCTGGCTGAACCATGACCATCAGTGTTTCTACGCTCTGGTGTCCCAAGCTGTTGATTTTTTATTGGGGTCATCAACCACGGTTCGAGAGGACATCCATCATCACCTAAAAGTTTAAACATAGAAATTACCTTCGGCAGTCTTCAAACATTCTGTTCCAGTAACATTGGTCTTTAACTTACTAAGTAACCATGTACAGCATCCCCATTGTCAAAATGTCGCTTCATGGTTGAGCGTACAGGTGAATTTGCCCATATGTGAGCACCATTTCTAGCTCCTGACCATTTAGCATTGATGTTCAAAATTAACAGGTCTGGGTCACACCTAAAATGATTTAATATTTATACTTATTAGGTGTACCTATTTGTGCTAGTAAATATTTATTATTGCTGATGTTCCTGAGTGTAACAAGGTACTTGCAATAAAATTATAATCTAAGCCCTTAAGACTAATGAGTATAATTTAATCTTTTTCACCTATACTGCTCAGTGAAATGTATCCAATAACACTTTTTACTATCATTAATAATAACGGGAAGATACTTTGTTTATGTTTTCAAGCAAGTAAATAGGTAAACAATAACTACTGAAGATAAACTTACCGATATTTATCGATAGCTTTGACAGTAGTAGTGAGTAGAAACTACCAAATATCGTTATAATCAGATCATTAAGACCTACGACCGATATCGGTTGTTAAGCGATAGCTAACTATGTCGAGACCGCTCACAACTAAGAATCACCATTCATTTACGGGTAAAAATATTTATAGTTAAATATATAGTTATTTTTACCGCTTGAATCTGGAAAACTTGCAGAAGTTTCGGAGAAGTCACCGTTTTTATTTAGAATCAGGAGATACATTTTTCATTATTTTAAATAATTTCTATGAAACGAAACAAAATTATACCACAATCTTAACCGTACAATTTAGAAATTTCGTGAAATACCCCAAACAAACACAATGTTGACTTCTATGTAGTGCATTGTATAGACTCTGCAAACTCGAATTTGCAATGTAGGTACTTTTAGATATTTTTTTAATAATTATTAAAATGTTCACTTTTTAGTAAAAGATTAAAAAAAAATGTTCTGGTGTCCGATTAAAATTCGCTAAGCTACTAACCTATATTCGTGTCTTTTTCTATTATCAATTTCATCATCATCATCATCATAACAGCCTTTCATAAGTCCACTGCTGAACATAGGCCTCCCCCAAGGAATGCCACAAAGCACGGTCCTGAGCCACCTGCATCCATCGACTTCCTGCATGTCTTACCAGGTCGTCACTCCATCTCGTGGGGGGTCGCCCTACACTTCGCCTACCGGTACGAGGCTACCACTCGAGAACCTTTCTTCCCCATCGGTTGTCGGTTCTTCGATCTATATGACCGGCCCACTGCCACTTCAGCTTACTAATCCGTTGGGCTATGTCGGTTACTCTGGTTCTACTACGGATATACTCATTTCTAAGTTTATCACGCAGAAAAACTCCGAGCATAGCCCTCTCCATAGCTCGCTGAGCGACCTTGAGCTTCCTCATACGGCCAGCAGTGAAGGACCACGTCTCAGTTCCGTAAGTCATCACTGGCAACACGCACTGGTTGCACAATTTCGTTTTAAGGTTTTGAGGTATGTCTGACGAGAAGATGTGTCGTAGCTTCCCGAACGCTGCCCAGCCGAGTTGAATCCGTCGATTGACCTCTCGGTCGAAGTTGGACTTACCTAGTCGGACTATTTGTCCCAGGTAAACATACTCGTCAACAACTTCGAGCTTAGTGCTCCCAACAACCACCGGCATAGGTGTGATATGGACATTAAACATAATCTTTGTTTTGTCCATGTTCATCTTAAGACCTATCCGTTGGGAGACACTATTGAGGTCATTGAGCATAGTGCTTAGGTCCTCCAGCGATTCTGCCAGACTATATCGTCGGCAAATCGAAAGTGAGTGATGTACTCGCCATTGATGTTAATACCGTATCCTTTCCAGTCTAGAAGTTTTAAAACGTCTTCCAATGCAGCGGTGAAGAGTTTCGGGGATATAACATCACCCTGTCTTACACCTCTCTGCAATTGGATAGGTTTCTTACTTTGGTTCTGTACTCGGATAGCTATCGTAGCCCTACTGTACACGCACTTCAACATTTCGATATACCGACAGTCAACTTGGCACCGCTGAAGGGACTGCAGCACCGCCCAAATTTCGACGGAATCAAAGGCTTTCTCATAGTCCACATACGCCAGACATAGTGGCAAATTGTACTCTTCGGACTTCTGTACAATTTGCCGAAGGGTATGTATGTGGTCTATGGTGCTAAAGCCCTTTCGGAAACCGGCTTGTTCGGGAGGCTGGCAGTCGTTAAGTCTGCGCGCGAGACGATTCGTAATGACTCTCGAAAACAGCACGTAGACGCGGCTCAGAAGGGAAATCGGTCTGTAGTTCTTCAAGAGAGCGTTGTCACCTTTCTTGAAGAACAAGCCCACCGCACTTCTGCTCCACGCCTCCGGTGTAATGCCACCATGGAGGACGGAATTAAAGAGCTTCTGAAGGACTTCAAGTACCGGTCTTCCACCCGCTTTCAGAAGCGCCGCTGTAATTCCATCCTCGCCTGGGGCCTTGCCGTTTTTAAGGTGCTGGAGAGCCATTCTAATCTCGCTCAGACTGACGTCCGGGATATCTTCGGAATAGCGTCGGATGAGACTCGCTCTTGGATCGTTACTCACACTTGCGTGTGGCTCCAACGATGACGTGTACAGCTGCCCATAGAACCTCTCAATCTCACTCAAAATCTCAGGTGTCCCGGAAACGATGCTGCCACATTCGGTCTTCAGCTTTGACAGTTGGCTCTTTCTGGCACACAGATCTCTGGCAAAGACTTTGGAACCTTGGTTCCGCTCGATCGCTTCTTCAATACAAGCTGTATAAGTTGCGTCAGTCCCGCCGCATGCATTTGGAGATCTGTCTGTTCAGTTGCCTGTATGCTGTCAAATCTGTTGAAGAATGTAGCTTCATCTCCCGTCTAACAGTCATGAGATTAAGAGTGTGATCGGAGAGTTTTTGTGTTCTTCTGCGGCGGGTCTTGCAGAACTCAGCTCCGACCGCATGGACAGTTTCCACGAGCTTGTCATTCATATCGTCCACTTCATTGCAGTCTTCTAGGCACTGAAAACGGTTTTGTAACTCGAGCTGAAAGGTTTCGGGACTTTGGAACAGAGCACGAGGGGGACGGAACGTTGACTTCATTAGACGCAACCTCTCCAACTTAACGTTTAGGTTCAGTGTGTCTCTAACCATTCGGTGATCGCTACCAGTTTTCACCCTCGCGATCACGGAGACATCACTGAACAGTTGTCGTCTGGTCGTCATAATGAAGTCAATCTCATTTTTTGTCGAACCGTCGGGGCTCGACCAGGTCCACTTCCCGTGAGGCCGCTTCTGGAAGAAAGAGTGTATCATAAAGAGTCCCTCTTTCTCCATGACGTCGGCCAGCTGCTGGCCCCTTGGGTTCCGTTGCCCTATTCCAAATTTCCCTACTTTCAGCTCACCGTTCTCTCTTGTGCCTAGTTTTGCATTGAAGTCTCCCATTAACACCGTATAGTGGGTTTTGGAGGAATTCATGGCTCTAGAGATATCCTCATACATTTCCTCCACCTCCTCATCGGGGTGTGCCGAGGTTGGTGCGTAAACCTGTATGACCTTCAGCGAATACCGTTTGGTGATTCTGAGTATAAGGTACGCAACCCTCGTCGACACACTCTCAATTTTTACAACGTTGTTAACGAGAGACTTGTGGACGATAAAGCCGACATCTCCTTGGGACAGATGGTCGCCCTCCCGGTGATAGAGCAAGTTGCCGGATTCGAGGATTACCGTGTCCTCCCCCTCTCTTCGGACTTCGGATAATCCTATAATATGCCAGCGCAACTTGTCTATCTCTTCTTCCAGCTCCACGATCTTCTCGTCAGTCCTCAGGGTGCGTGCGTTGTACGTTGCCAGGTCGAGTCGTCTAAGGTGGCAACCGAACCTCCACCGGAGATTCTTAGCACCCCCTGCCCCGCCGTTACCATGGTCGCCACCGTAGCCAGGAATAGCTGGGCCGCCGGGGACTGGGGGCCGTCTGTTTGTTGCTTTGATCATTGGGGGGTATTTGCCATAGTTGCCACGCTTGGCGAGCGGGTTGGCAACCGCAGTTTTATTATAATTTTGCCTATTATCAGGAAGATGCTGCTGCCCATCTCCTGCCTGTTTCCCTTTGTCGCCTTTTACGACACCCACGGGAGGATATGGGATAGTGGATATTCTTGACCGCCACTACACTGTGGCGGTCAAGAATTATCAATTTAATCAACAACATTTATTTAGCTGTAATTATATGAATACATAGATTGCCGAAAATTAAAATAAATCCAGGCTATGAGTAGGCGATTGTACAGCTCGAAAAAACCGTTTAGATGACGGCGAAACGTGGAACTAGGTACATATTTTCTACCTAAGAAATCTGTCAATGCCAGTTTTTCTGTCAAACTCGGCAATGTGTAGCTTGTTATTGCTCAGGGTTTCCAGAAAGTCACTAACAACGCCCTCATTTACTCAAAATTTTTTTTGTGTCGGTATTTTCCTAAAACAGAAAAAAAATCCTAAAACATATTGTAAGCGAATATATCGGCCTTTCGGGCCCTGGGTACGGGCCCCGTGTGCCCGTATGGTAAAGACGGTACTGGATGTAGGCCTCTACGGGCCGCAGCATCTACTTACCAACACATGAATTATGTGCCCGTTGGTCAGCCTTAATCGTATTAACAGGAACGGATGTGGCATAAACCCTCCTTACTTCTATCTCCCACAACTGGAATTAACCCTTTCACAGCCGCGCTTTAGTTGACGTGGAGTGTCTCCAGCGCCAGGAACTTTTATTTAATATTTTACATAGTGTTGGACAACCATATATCGATAAATAAAACAAAGTTTTAAAAATTATAGATTATTATTTATTTTAAACAACATAACATTCTTCTTATCGGGTATTAACACTAGCTTTAATTAGTCGTAATTTTCATTAATCACGTTGCACTTAATCAGCGTATTTAGGAGATGGTTTTCTTCATAAAACTAATCAATATTTAGGAAGGTCCATGCACCTTGATATACAGTAATCTATGCTTGATCTAATATATGTAGCTCCTTCCGAGCGTTATACCTAGTCAGGTCATAAGTATTGTCACAAAGTAAAAACTTTTCTTTTGGAATGCTGGCCACAAAAAAGTTTATTGAATTCGAATTTCGAATTGTTTATGAAAATAAAACTGTATACTTTTTAGAATTTTACTCAATTTTAAATATGGAGTGGACGCTTAAAGAAGACCGTGTTGCAGTTATTGCGTTGCATCGTTGCGGTTACGCGCCAATTCAAATTTTTGACATACTGAAAAATTTGAATATAACCAAAAGATTCGTTTATCGTACCATCAATCGATACAATGAAGACTCTAGTGTAGACGACAGGTCAAGAAGTGGTCGCCCTCGGTCTGTTAGGACTCCAGCAGTGATAAAAGCTATGAAGGCGCGAATTCAAAGAAATCCCAAACGTAAGCAGAAACTGTTGGCCCTTCAGATGGGGTTAAGCAGAACCATGGTGAAAAGGGTGTTAAATGAAGACTTAGGGCTTCGGGCATATCGAAGAAAAACAGGACATCGTTTGAATGCTCGTCTAATGGACCTGAGACTGAAGAGATGCCGCGCTTTGTTGAAGCGGTACGCGGAAAAAAAATATCGGGAAATTTTTACCGTAGAAGAGAGCTACAACAAACAAAATGATAAGGTGTACGCACACAGTAGTGAAGAAACGAGCAACCGTATTCCGCGTGTCCAACGAGGTCATTTTCCATCTTCGCTCATGGTATGGTTGGGAGTTTCTTATTGGGGCTTAACAGAGGTACATTTTTGTGAGAAAGGTGTAAAAACGAATGCAGTTGTGTATCAAAATACGGTCCTGACGAACCTTGTGGAACCCGTTTCTCATACCATGTTCAATAACAGGCACTGGGTATTCCAACAAGATTCGGCGCCAGCTCATAGAGCGAAGAGCACACAAGACTGGCTGGCGGCGCGTGAAATCGACTTCATCCGGCACGAAGACTGGCCCTCCTCCAGTCCAGATTTGAATCCGTTAGATTACAAGATATGGCAACACTTGGAGGAAAAGGCGTGCTCAAAGCCTCATCCCAATTTGGAGTCACTCAAGACATCCTTGATTAAGGCAGCCGCCGATATTGACATGGACCTCGTTCGTGCTGCGATAGACGACTGGCCGCGCAGATTGAAGACCTGTATTCAAAATCACGGAGGTCATTTTGAATAAACTTTAGTGTCATAAGAATCTATGTTTTGTTAAGTTCATTTTGGTATATAAATGGTTACATTATGAATAAACTTGTTTCAATTATTATATTAAACGTGTGACAGAATTTATGACCTGACTAGGTATATCTTTATTATGTCCATATACACATGCGATCGAATCTCGTATGGGACTGACTCCATTTCAAATGCAATTAATGTACCAAAATGCTCATTTCAAGGATCTTCTGGTCTTAGATTAAAGAATCTTGAAGCGGGCAAACTTATATAAGCTGTGTAGTCATCTTTTTTCGATTTCACATAGCATATGTAATGATTTTCGGTCTGCGTTGATCTACCATTTTTGGAAATTTTTCTTTTTATTTTCTTGTTCGGTCGAATAGATAGTAGAATAGATGGTGGTAATGGCGGCGACTCGTCACTTTTTGATATGATGATTCTACTCCATAAACTAGAAGATTCTTTATGTTCCTGTAAATATGTATAAATTAAGCAAATATAAATGTAGTGTAAGTTTCTTAAATACCTGACTAATTTTACATAAATATTTACTTACAAATTCAATATCACTGCCTTTAGAAGAAACTATGAATATCATTATGCGATTCCAAAATATTTAACAATTCTTCTTCGTCTAGCATTATCGATAATTTCCAGCACTAAAAATGCAAATAAGTATAGTACACGCGTGTTATCACGGTGACGGCGCCACAGTAATTGACAATTTATTGAAACGCCACTGTCGTTGACATTAGCCGCACGTGAAATCACGGTGCTGGCTATATGCTTCATGGTGCTGGCGTTCTCAACTCGAATGCACTAGTGACGTACCGGGATAATTCAATTTTACATTTGGGTTGTTTGGTTTATAAATTAATATTTTTATTTCTTGTCGCAAAAATCATTTAAATAATATATGAAATTAAATTTTTATGAATGTTTAGTTCAGTTCATTAAAATATTACATTATGATGACTTGACTATCATTTTAATTTTGAAACAATACAAATATAAATTGTTTGATAAATCTTTTACAGTGGCGCAGCACTGGTCTCAGAAATATCACGGGGATGGCGAGACAGCAAGGTGTTAAATTTCATCTTGCACTTAGTAACACTATATATTTCTGTTAATTTTTTGACATTGGTATCTACAACTGTCCACAATTAATTAAATGTATTAAATTTAATAGCAAAATCGAATTAACCTTGCAGTTTTTCTAGTAACATTAGCATTTCGGAATATTACGTGACGGCGCTGACGGTATTCACCTTAAGATTCGTAATATTACAGGTATGGCGGTGAAAGGGTTAAAGGATCCCCCCAATAATGTTAAGTTCTGGGTCTCCTCAGTCAGTTAAGTCCTCATCTATTAAAAATTAGTGATGCAACGAATACTAATTTTACGAATACGAATATCAAACCTACTATTCGGCGAATACGAATACGAATATCTCGCCTTGGTAATAAAAATCTAATTTATTTGATGATTTTCTATTCTAATAATTAAAATTTACAATAGGCAAATTTTATTTAAAAAAACATAACATTTGTAGATTTTCTGGTTTTAGGCGATTTCTTTAGTCTGGATGTTCCCAGCCGTTGAAGTCTTTCCAAGGAGACTGTATGACCAAAACACGCATATTTTTTACGTATATGACCAAAACACGCGTATTTTTACGTATATGACCAAAACACGCGTATTTTTACGTATATGACCAAAACACGCGTATTTTTACGTATATGACCAAAACACGCGTATTTTTACGTATATGACCAAAACACACGTATTTTTACGTATATGACCAAAACACGCGTATTTTTACGTATATGACCAAAACACGCGTATTTTTACGTATATGACCAAAACACGCGTATTTTTACGTATATGACCAAAACACGCGTATTTTTACGTATATGACCAAAACACGCGTATTTTTACGTATATGACCAAAACACGCGTATTTTTACGTATATGACCAAAACACGCGTATTTTTACGTATATGACCAAAACACGCGTATTTTTACGTATATGACCAAAACACGCGTATTTTTACGTATATGACCAAAACACGCGTATTTTTACGTATATGACCAAAACACGCGTATTTTTACGTATATGACCAAAACACGCGTATTTTTACGTATATGACCAAAACACGCGTATTTTTTACGTATATGACCAAAACACACGTATTTTTTACGCGCCGATGACGCGCGTTATCCATGTCCGCCATTAATTAGAGTTGCGTACAGAAATATTAGTTTTTAAATATTCGTGATCAGTATTCGCCGAATACGAATATCCGGTAAATGTCTACTATTCGGCGAATACGAATATTCGTATTCGTTGCATCACTATTAAAAATAATAGATTCGTGCTGGAGTTGCAAATAAAATGAGGTTTATTTGGGATTTAAGATGATTAAAACAAAACAATTTTTTTAAAGTATTTAATGTCAAAGAAACAAAAATTATTGTTCAAAACTTTATAAGTAAGTAATAAAGCATATTTCTCCTTATCTTGTATGACCATGTGTTGCAACAAAGTATCGCCAAATGGACTGAAATAACACTATGTAAAACGAAGATAAAATTTTACACTGCAAGGTCACAGGCATTATTTATTAAGCAGAAATTTTAGGAATATCAACATAAATATATAATTATTATAATGGAGCGCACATATAAAAAAAATCAAATATTCCAAGAAATTACATTGTTACAAATGTGCTAATGACCCCAAAAGCATTATGCAGCATTATTGCTTTACAAATACAAGAAGACTGATAAAAATAAAGTATTCCAAAATTAAGATGCAAGTCATTAACCGCAGACTTGCGTTAACTAAATCAATTTCCGGTAATAACCGGTAACTGCCAAACATCAAGCCTTAAAAACACCTTAAGGTCCTAACCTACCTACCCCCTAATGAGTGTATCATTTAAGACACATACGGGGTCATGTGCAAGTTTTTGAGCGAAAACTTGAACTAGACTGTAAAAACTATCAACTTGTGTAAAAGTAAGCGGTAAATGCTGCCATGGTGGGAAAAGACAATATTAAACAAAGCGAAATTTAAAACAAAGCTTATAATATCTTACACGAGTCAAATGTTGCACGCCAAACAATTTTTACCTTTTAATTGAGCCAAAGAAACATCTGACAGTGTAAATGCACATCTTATATAGATTAGGACAGATTTTTCAAGTCAGATTCAAATTATCTATCAAATAAATGATAACCTAACTATAAAAGTGAAACGAATGGAACTATTTTATTTAAAACTGTAATTTTTGTTTGTGTTGTATTTTATGCTATGAATAACATTGGTACTTGAAAAATTGGTCCATAATCAATTTTAAGCATTTGGTTTCTTTAATCTGTGCACACTTCCTTAACTCTATACGTCACAATAAGATATACATTTTCATTACAATCTTAACACATAATACAGGAACAGTTATGTTGATAAAGCACTGTACCACTCATTCACCACAGCCACCCCAAATAAAAGTTTACCAATCGTATTACACATATACAAGTAAATCTGATAACCTAAAGGTGAATGCAACTGAAGGACTTTAGACTTACGGTGGATAACTGCTTTGTGATTTGTGAGTGTCTGGTTTCATGCATTTGCTTAACAGTCATAACATAAAGTCATTCCAAGCTTGATCATAAATAGGGGAAAGTAGCCGGACTTTCAGACTTTTTCCATCAAAATTACAGTCACGACTTCCATGAGATTGTCAATCAAAAAACATCCATCAAGAACTCTTAAGCCGGTATTCCGAGACAATCTAGACCATAATATAATGTACAACAAGACAAAAATTTTAATGACAACCTTAACATAAAAAGATGATAGAGGAACAGTTATGGTGATTAAGTACCAGCACTTAATCACCACAGCCATCCCAATATGAGTTTGTAAATCGAATTACACGTTAAACTGACAACGTAAAAGTAAATGAAACTCAGGAACGTTCTTTAGACTTACGGTAGGGTGATAAACTGATACACAGGTGTTGCTAAATTCCAGGGCTACCATACGTCCATCCCCTGCAGGCAAAATGTATATATACCTGGTCCAGGAGGATAATGTTTGTGTTGGTAGATGATTCAAACTTCACTCGTGCACTTCTACGTACTCGGCCGTGCCGAACCCCTAACATGTACCACAGCACTAGGACTAATCGACCCCTACCGTCCAATTTAAAAGGGTACGTAGTCAACTTTAACAAAATTTTGTACAATATCTTTCTGATGAAGCAGAATACCGTTCTATGGTAAAGATGCTATTTGCTGCTATTGATTACATCGAGAGAAATAAAAGCACCAACATAGCGCTCCCGTTGGCTATGACGGTGGGTACGGAAGTCTCAAATTATATGCCCTGAGTGTACACAGGTGCAGCTAGATGCTTGGGGGTGGTAATGGTTGTACATTATTGGAATAAAATATTACCACAGCAAAATATCATTCTTATCTGAAATACCAGTTTCACCTGAAATTTGGAGCAGAGAATAATGGACCCTCAAACCTCACACAAAATCTTTAGCTATCAAGTTGCATTACCAGAAACAGAATAATGTGTTTTCAACACATTTTAAATTTTTTCGACAACTTCCTGTTTGCTCCACCAAATGTAGAGAGTATGGATAGTTGACGTCAAGAATTCTCTTTAAACTACAAGTAATCTATGTAATCTCGGAAAAGAGAAATGTCCAATTTCTACTTCATAAAAAGTAACTTTAACCCCGTATGGAAAGAGAGACGAATGGTATCCGAACAGACTGTAAGAGCTGGACAAAAATGTTCAGACTCTACCTTTACAAGATAATTGCTGTTACGGAAAGACAGAAGAGAGAAAAATTGTCTGAATTCTCCAGTAATAACGGAATTTGTATATACATACGATAGATCACATAATTTGTATTTACCGTTTAGAACTGCGAGAAGGTGGCACAAAGGGGAGCAGATGCTTTCCTATAATA